GCCTTCATCATGGACATCGAGGACCAGGATCACAATCAGTTCCAACAGATGTGGGGGGTGCTCAAGACCCGGGCGTCCACCACGGAAGAGCCAGACGCCTCCCAGCCCCAATCCAAACGACAGAAGGCCGACCATCCGGCAGTCAAAGGAAAGGGAAAAGGCAAAGCTCGCCGATCCACTCAGCAGACCAGTCGACCGGACGACTTGAGGCAGATCGTCCAAACCCTGGCTCGACTATCACTCCGACACGAAGATGCTTTGAGAGGCCTGGCCATGGAGCAGGACTACATGCTTTTTTTGAGCCTCGGTCCCGGGAGCATCAACTCCTGACCAGAGTCAGGAAGCTCCAGAACGCTCGACCAGAAGACGACTTGGTCCAGACCTTGATCAAGTTCAACTATCTCACGCAGGGCGAGAACAGCAACGACCTCAGATTCTCCTACCTTCAGTGGAACCCCACTCAGAAGGCAATGGAGAAAGATCCGGACCGCGCAGCATTGACCATGCAACATGTGGCAACTCAAATCACCAAGATCCTGACACTGTTGCAGCAGCAATCTCTGATCATACGATTTGGAGCTCTGCGCCCCAATGCACAGATCAAGCAGAACGTGCGCAAGGAGCCCACCTCGACGCCTCAGGTGGTTCCATGGCGGCTCTCCCTTGCCCTGACCCACCGGCACTCAGCAGAGACGCGCTCGACCTGGCAGGAGCTGACCCACTCGGGAGTTTGGCAACGAGACAGGCCACACTACAGAGGACTCCACTGGCCATGTGATCACTGATGATGGCTTGTATCTCAGGGGGTTGCGCAATCCTCAGAACTGCTGCTACATGAACGCAACGGTTCAAGGATGGCTTTGGGGTTCCATCCAGACTGGTCCCTTGCAGGATAGTCAATGGGAGATTTTGCCAGAAGATGCTCACAGACTCTCCAGCTGAGCCGCTGCTTCTCTGGTCCAATGGACCTTGGCTGACACTTCTTCAAACATGGGAAAAGCCGTTCGAACAGCATGACCTGGTTGACTTTGTACATTTCTTGCTGTCACTTGTATCACCGTGCTTTGTTAGCAATCTCTGGGAGGCCAGAGTTGATGCTGATGCCCAGGTGCGCACGGTGGACAGCGGATCTCACCATTGCCCTGTGAGGCTCTACCTCTGCGATGGCTCAAAAAGGGATGGCGTGGAGCTTCAGGATTTGATCACCACATGGAGCCTTGAATCCTACGGACTCCAAGCCACCGATCGATTCGACCAAGCCGGACACAAATGCTTCCAGAAGCTGGTTTGGACTTCCCCCAATTTTCACCCCGTACTTCACTGGTGCCACCATGGAGGTTGACAAGGTTCCTTTTGAGGTGACGGCCGTTTCATTCCATCTGGGCGAGGACTCAACTTCTGGACACTACAGAACAGCATTATGAGATGGGGATGTATGGTACCTGTTGGATGTTGCTGAGTCCCCGGCTGCCACCCCCGTGTTGCCTGACAAAGTACTGAGGAATTGCTGCTTGCTTTGGCTGAATAGCAAAAATGGTGGGGCCATGATGATCGACAAGGAGCCGGACCTGGCTGGCTGGTTCCTTGGCGCTCCTGAGCCTTACCAAATGATGACCGACCTTCAGCGCGCCTTCTCCACTGGTCGTCCCTGGCAGGCCACTTGGCTTTCGTCGATCGATAGCTTAGATGTTGGTTTTCTTTTGGAATGGCCGGACGTTTGCCGCTACTTGGTCTTCAATTGCGCGCTGTGCGGCGCGCGCCCTCCCTGCCTGCTGGACCACCTCCGTGTGCACCATGCGGAATGGACTGCCGCCGCTGAGCAGCTGACTGAGGAGATGATGCAGCAATTCATGATGCGAGCCAAACCTGGCCGCATTTGCTCATGTCACCCGTATCATGTACGGAATGAGCCGATCGATGAGCATGTTTGTCCGTGCATGCTCAATTTTGGTATGCTCAACAGGTTTCTTCGAGCAGCGCAGGCAGTGAGGGCTCGGGACTGTGGTTTCCAGCTCGCACTGCAGCTCGAACGTTCGTTCAACTGACCCTACGGGGGAAGTGCTGGCCCGGTTCACCTAAGGGGTCAACGCCACCTCACGCACCTGAGGGCGTGGAGAAAGAAAGAAAGATGATGATGATGATGATGATGCTCATGATGAAGCTGAGGGTCGCGGCGACGGTGGTGATGATAGTATCTTGAAGGCGACGGCGCTGCTGACGATGATGGAAGTTTCTGACCCTGACAGTTAAGAAACTCACACTCCAAACTTCCCAGCAGTTGCAATTGCGGTTCCTGGTGAGAACGCTATGTGCTGGAGAATCTTGCCGCGTTGGGGCCGGTTCTCAACTTCAATCTATTCTGGCAGGCTTCCCGAATCAACTTTCTCCTGTGAACAAGGGGTGCTTTATTGTCATTGTGTTTTCAAAACAGGTGGCAAAAACCCCAAGATGTCTATGGAGTTGCCACGATGATGATGATGACGATGACGATGACGACGAGGACGATGACGATGACGATGAGGATGAGGATGAGGATGATGATGATGATGAGGATGAGGATGAAGATGAGGATGAGGATGCTGATGTTGATGCTGATGCTGGCGCCGCCGCCGACGATGATGATGACCACGACGATGATCATGATGGCGAAATAGCTAACTGGCACAGTCGCAATCCACGGTCACACGGACACGTGATGTTGATGAACAGGCTAATACGTAGTTGGTGACGATGATGGTGAGTATGATTCTGACCCTGGCAGTCAAGAATCGCACGCTCGATATAGGAGATTGAAGCATCTTGGGTGCTCAAGATGATGGCTCTTCGGTGCTCGCTTCTGCATTGTTATGGAGGGTCTAGAGTGTGACGAAGAACAGCAATCTACCACCTGGTCGGAGTACTGAAAGACTCCCTAGTTGATTGAGTAGATGGTAGAGGCCCAAGTCTTAAGTCAATCTCAAGGGCAGCTCTCCAGCTACCTAACTCGAGACCGGTCCTCTCACGACCCAGCACCCGGGCACATGCAAACCGGGCACAGGCCGGTTCTCCGGGCACTCGGGCACCCGGGCACGTCTCCTGAGAAGACCTTACTCCGGAGGTTGTAGAGCCCCTGTCACTTCCAGAGCCCTCCTCCTCTCCACGCCACTGGCGGACTGTCGCTAAGCAATGCCATTGTTGATTCGATATGTAACTTTTGAAGACACCGACGCGCGCACATGTTGTCCTTGTTCGGGTCCCCAAGAACTTTGCTCTTGGGGTTATCACTCAAGAAGGAGAATCAAAAGGCTGTCCACGTAGGGCTGCCTGCTACTGGGCAAATGTTGCCACTTGGTCTGCTATTTTGCTTGCAGCTTGACCACAGGGTGCGTGTTCTGCAATGTCCGGTTTTTGCTGCGTTTTCCCAAACGTGTGTCCGGTTGGTGTGGTGGAAGGAGCTCGCCAATTCCCTGCAGTAACTTCGTTGGCTTGTCTACACTTAGAAACTTGAGTCTGGGCGGTTTGGAAAAATATCAAAAGTGGTTTTGGGAGAAGCTCGCCGTTCCAATCCAAACAACCTCGCAGCTCCTCTAACAGATGAAACATATTGTTGGATATATATATATATATAATGCCAATAGTCAGAACAGGCAGCAGGAAGGACTTGTGAGTGACTGATAGATTCTGTCGCACAGTGTCCAAATTGAATCAAATTGGATGATTGTGCTGGTGTGAGGCCAGTTCCAGCGTTGCAATGCAAGCCTTGCAGATGGACATCTCCAATCTGGTTCCAGTACGGACGGCAAGGCGTCGAGAGTCGTTAGGCTCGTCAGTTACAGAATCTTGGGCTATGGGGCGGCTGAAAGAGAAGAAAGACAAGCAGGTGAAACTAAAAGATCCGGAGGACCAGGTTTCATTGAAGTGTGACACTTCAACAGTAACAAGCTTGAACCTTGGCCTGTTGAAAAATCCATTTGGATCAATGTTTGTTGTTTTTTCAATTGGTGATTTCCAGGATAGTCCTTCACCTTCACTACGTGTGCTGCCAGTTCCTGGGGTTCCTGACTTGAAGAAAGCAAGAGACCTGATTGAAGATCCAGCAAAAGCACCTGCTGAGACCCCTTTGGAGTGTGCCGAAAAGAATCTTAGCATTCCACGCATCAGCACCGATGATGCAATGCTAGGGAGGGGAAGCAATGAAAAAACTCTTTGCCTCGACCGGGAGGCGAGCCGGGGTAGTGAGAGAGGGACTGGCTTACCATTTGCGGTTCAAAGATCCAGTTCCCAGCCAAGAGCTGGGAGGGAAGATTCGCAGAGCTCTGGGCGAGAGAGTTTGCAAAGATCTCGAAGGGCGAGTTTCGATTTGCAGCGAGCAGTGTCGAAGGCAAATATTACTGAGGTCTTCAAAGTAAGAGAGATGGAACTGACAGCAAACTTGACTCCCAAAGGAGTTATGCCTCACAAAAGTGATGAAATCCTCATTGAGCGGAGCAATGAAGACGATGATGCCTTCGACACGGTCCATGAAAGGACACCATCCTGGTGGTTGAGGCTTAGATTTCTGGACACCTTTGTTTCATGTCACTTGTCGAAGGCATTGGGCTTGGTCTCTTTGTTCAGGGAGGGACCTTGCTTGCTATGTCGCAACTGGGCCTCGCGGCTGTATCATTGGTTGCTGCTCTCCTACCTTCTATACGGTGTTCTGAACTTGACTTATCAGTTGAGCATTTGCCATGATCAAGCTAATGAATGCTCCGGTGCCTGGCCCCCTTTAGCAGTAGATTTGTTCCTTCTTTTGGGTGCTTGCATGGTGTTGATGAGCTTGGGTGGATTCTTGAGATACAAGGACGGGAAATTCAGATCTCCAACTTGTTCAATTTGCTCGTTCCTTTTTTAAACATCCTGCACTTTAGCTAGAGCGTTGCTCGGACTAGCTTGAGAAACTTCGGTTGATGATCTCACAGGAGACCACTACTTTGGTGGCGCAGAGCGCAGAAGAGCTCTCTTCTTATTGTCAGCAGAACATGCTGGACGATGCCTGGAAGATTTGGAGCTCTTCTGAAGCTCTGCAGAAATTGTTCTTTGCATGATTATCTGCCTGTATCTTGCTTAGTGTAGTAGAGTACGCCACTTGCCCTGGTTGAAATTTCAGAAGCGAACCTGCAGGGGTTTCCTGCAGCTTGAAGCCGAAACACGGCGAGGTAGTCTTTGGCCGAGCGGGCGCGAGGTTACACACATTACTTGCCTATAGTATAAACATATGCAGCAAGATATTTCAGTTTTCCTTGAGGCCTTGACACCTTTGCTTCCTTTCTAGTGATACATAGGAATTTTGGGCATGCCATGCAATATGTTGCTTCACCAAGCGGAGATGCCCTTGCAGTTGATGTTACTGCGGCTTTGCAATGTGTGATTGTCAGAGCGGTAATGAGGTGATTGTGTGATGTACTCGGTACTCCTTGCTGGTGCAGTGCAACCTGTTCTGCGGTGATGTGTTGTGCGGCGAACCGTGATGTGGTCATTTGTAATTTTTTATTCTAATTAAAGTCTAAGTCTAATTAACAACTTATATAATTCTAATGGCTTCTTGTTACTACTAGTAAGGCGCTTGTTCCTAGTAGCGATGCCCTTGTTTCTAATAGCTTCTTGTTCCTAGTAGTAAGGCCCTTGCTCCTAGTAGCGATGCACCTGTTCCTAGTAGCTTATTGTTTCTACTAGCTTATCTATGAATGTGCAAGAGTTTCGAGTGCAATGTCAGCATGCCATTGTTGCCTGAAACAACCATAACGATTTCCAAAGTGGTCCACAGAACCCTGGCGCAACATGAATCTCTCGCACATCAAAATAGTGCTCTATATGTTTCTTACAAGAAGGGCCGGGCCTGTGCCACAAGTTGTGCGCGGTCGGCATAGTCACGCACAACAACAGTGCCATCCCTGCGCATCTCTGTGGATACTTTCTATCTATTTATTTGCGTTGTAGAAACGAAACCATGTGGGCTAGTGCAATAAGCCTGCCCCTCAGCACTACCAATCCATCGCTGGTCCAGAGAACGATAACGGTACAAAAACACGATAACGAGCTTATACATGTACATGTTCATGAACCCTGAAGATGGCAACCTGCACAGGCCTCCACAACGAGAACAACATGTGAAAAAACATGCGAACGCTTGGGAGGATACCCACATGACCGGTTTGAGCATATCACCTTTGGTTCAAAATTGAAAGGACATGAATGCAACATGAAAGGACAATGAAAGGACATGAATGCAAAATGAAAGGAACATGAAAGGAAATGAATGCGAAATGAAAGGAAATGAAAGGAACAGATGACATTTGTTGACTTTCGACCAAGGATGCTTTCACACCGACAGAAAGCTGGAAAATTGACATTTCTAGTGCAGAGAGCCCACCGCCTGAGACAACGATAACGATAACATACTTCGGGACATTGCAAATGATACGGTCTTTGTACACTACCCCATGTGCCCAAGTGGCGCCACACGCGCATGTATCCTCGTATCCGTGCGCTATTCTATTGCCTTCGTAAGTTGGAAGCGTGTTATTTGTTGTTGACTAGACTTCCTTGGATGATATGCAAGGTCAGTATGCCGGAAACTGGACAATGCGCACATTTTGCTACAGTCTCTGCAGATCAAACTCCTCACATGCGCTGAATGACAGAAGCAATCGCAGTGTATTCGTAGTTTACTGTACAAAGATCAGATCAGGTTTGGGATGTAGTGCTTTCTGTGGGTGTCCCAAATGATCTGAGGATGCCCTGTCTGCGCTATGTGTGTGGTTTATGCTCTTGTTTGGTCGATTTGGCCTCTACGTGTATCGTGGGGGAGGCGATGCTGATGCACTCGACCTGAGCGTTCTGTCCTTTGGATTGACCTATGCCATCAGCACCGGTGTCTTGGTAGTCGCCTGCTTCTGGCAGGTTCGGACCTCTCATGCAATGCTTTTGATCGTGAATAGCTGGAGCGCCTCTTTGTTGCAGGGTGATGCTTCGTGCATGGAATCCAAGGACCAGGGTGTGATGAAAAAGTGATGCTTTACATGGAAGAACTAGCTCCTAGGTGTTGTACCCGCAACAGTCGGAAAATTTCATCTGTTTAGAAACAGGCATTTGCTAACCACACCATCATCCACTGTTACTGGTAATTGGATAGACCTATTGCTAAGACATATTGTTTGACTATACGTGATGTGTATTATGCCAATTACTTTGGGTTTCAAACACAAGGCAAGTTGGCGCCGGGTGAGTGGGCTCTTCCGCAAGACCTCTCGGACTTTTGAGCGGTGCTTTGCAGCACTCGGCTTCATCATCGTGATGTTGGTCCTCGCTGCCCTCTATGACCTCATCCAAGGAAGAGGACAAGAATTGCTAGCCTCGGTCTCGTTGGCCTTAGTCATACCAGGTGAGAACAGCCTAACAAGGGATGCCTGTGTTTCACCACTTCATGGGCATGCGCGTGTTGCATACTGTATCTAGTCAAGGACGAAGGGTTTGGGTCAAGAAACACTGGAGGGGGTGCGCAGGCGTGTTGTGGACGCATGCTTCCACCACGACGGCATGCAATCGATTGCCTTCTTTGGTGACCCTCATTGAAGCAGACGATGAGGAAGAGGACAGGGAATACATGGGCTTGGCGCTGTATTTGTCCTTGAGTGAGTGTGGCTTTTTTGTATCTTGGATTTGGAATCTAAATGTTCAAAGTTTGGCCCAACATTTTCAGGCGTGTGGTTTCTTGCAACTAATTTTGCAATGCTTCCTTCTCAAGTTGCCCAAATGAGGTTTGGGATACATGCGTGACACTGAGCTTGGTGCAGAAGTTCCTCTACTTCACGGCAGCGATTGCTGGAACCATCGGGTTCCAAACGGGAGCATTGAATTTCCAAAGCAGAGGCATACCAATCGATTGATAGAATTTACACGGCTATACGGTTACGTATGTGACCTCTTCTGAGGCGCCCACCTGAACTTGGACCCAAGAGCTCCAACTTTAACCGCGCGAATGGACCTGAAGCAGGAAAGATCTGAATTTGGTCCACTCGTTGCACACTGTTGGAGAGTTTCAAACGCAGGTGGAGCAAATGTTCTCCGCTTTTGACTTCTCATTTTACTTGTGTCAGGTGTTTTTCTCGGTGTCTCAAATGAGATCACCTTTCCTGACGCACGTTTTTTCCATTGTGAAATTGTCATCCTCCTGGCCCAACTCACGTGACACTAAAACCCTGTTCCAATTATATCGAACCCAAGACATACACAGCCCCTGTCTCTTTAGATTAGATTAGATCCTTCACAGAGCCTTGAAGGAGCTATCCATTGAAAGAGATTGTACTTGAAACGCTTCTTTTCTGAACAATTGGCACGCGATGAAGCGTGACAACCAATGAACTCACCAGCACGAAACTAGCGATCTCTTCAAGCATCCACCCATCAAGCGACGGAGGTTGAGCAATTGTGATAATTGCTGCAAAATAGCAGCGCAACCAGTGCGGCAAGAGCAAACCAACAGAGACTTTCAAGTCAACAAGAAGTTCGCCAATACAGTTAGGCACCTTATTAGGAGAGAGGGCAAAAAGGAGCAACCCAACGCGGCTAGCAAACCCTTGCTACAAGGTTGCGGAAGCGTGTCAATAATCTATAACATTCAATCAACCAACGCATTTGAGATGATGAAATACGATGAATGCATGAAATAGCCAACCGATTGAGACACTCTGCTAAGCGAGACAAGCGAGACAGGAACACCAAACAATTGCAATGGAGTAGGAACAAGTAGCTACTAGTAGCAAACGGCATCGCTACTAGGAGCAAAGAAGCTACTAGGGGCTCCTGGCCGTACTACTAGGATCAAGAAGCTACTAGTAACAAATTGCAATGGAGTAGCCAAAAAATCAGTCATGAAAGCACACCAACCAACTGAGACTATCAGACCTGCTGATCCAGCACAAGCCAGCTAAGCAAAAGCCAAGCTTACTGAGGTAACTTGCCAAGCAACTAGTCAAGTAAGCAATACAACCAAGAGTCAGCCCAGCGATTTGCCGGCCAACCAACCAAACTTGCCACATCCAGCGCCTCCGATACCACACCTTGCTTTGATGGCAACGGCATCAGCCCAGAGGATGACTTTCGGTGATTCAGCTAACTGGCTGGAAATATGAGTTCGATTATGTAGAAAAGACATGGTCAAGATTTTCCTCTACTTATTGCGACATACATACTAGACCAACTCACATTAAGATCTCACATTTTCTTGTTGTTTAGCCAATTTGACCATAGCTATTCGATCCCTTCAGTGACGTGAACTGAGGCAGAAAAGGTTGCCAGCTTTGTTCGCTTGAAAGCACCTTGCCTTGGCCGTAGTTGTGGGCGCGTCTCCCCAAACGCCATTCCCAGAAATTCATAGAAAGAGGTTGAAGGTGTAGCTACAGTAGAATTTCTAGGGTCCCCTTACAGAAATGTTAGACATTTTTCTTTTTGATTCATGGTCCATGGTTAAAACTGACAGGCTTCGCCAACCGGCGATGCCCTTGGGTACGCACATGTCCTGGTGCTAGAAATGTTGGCTGCAAACTGACATTTTCAACATCATCAGGACGTATGTATACATTTACTTAAAACCAAAAAACATCAACAACAGGGAACATGATGAAAAAATGGCTACTGTCACTGTAAAGCTTTGCCTCTAAAGAAAAAAGTATGCTAAGAGGAGAGGAAGTTTTGAGGTAGCATTTGTGTCGAGCACCATATCGAGCAGCATTGTTCATAAACTACATATATACATGTTGCAAAAACACAGTAATTTACAGTGTTTTGCGCCTCGTCATACATGAAAAGGATTTCGATCTTTCCTGCTGAGACTCTGCTGATGCTAATGATGCTCGACCAAAATTTCTCCTCAAAGTTGTTCTATATAGAGGTTTTGAAGCCATAAGCTTTACTGACCATGTTTGATCACTTTCCCTCAGTTTTTGACGTTCTTTGACGAAGCCACATGAGCCCTGGTGATGCCAAAAACCGCGGGTCGGCTGCAAGGGGCGTGTCTCCGTATAGCAAGCTAGTTTGCTAGGGACAACGGCACGGCATCGCCGGATAGGTCGGGGTGCCGCCAGGTGCCGCCGACCCCTTGAGTTTTTGATGCCTTTCCATAGCAAGTACTCTTCGTACTCTTAGCAGAATAGAAAATGGACTGTTTGTCGTTTGCAGGCCAGTTCATGTTTTTCTGCAAGAACACATCCGGAATTGATGCCTGCAACAGAGGATGCCTGAAACATAGAGTCCAAAAGCCTTTGTCAGGAAACCTTTGTCATAGAGAACGCAACAAACTTGTGGAATGTTGGAGGTCTCTTGTGGCAATCCCCGAAGTGTTGCTGCTTTTGGCCGAAGCTGTGCCCCTTCAAGCAAGTTTCTGTAAACACCATGTCCGACATCGAACATGTTCAAGTCTAAGTATTGTCTGACACTTTGAGTCTTCACAACCTCTCCACATCCCCCTGCAGAATTCCAATCTGCTCTCACGCTGTCACTATGTCACTATGGCTGAAGACAGCAACTGCACAGTTGGGGATCTTTTTCCTATACATCTGGCGTTGGGGTCCTCAATAGCAGCAAATTAAAGCAAACTTGCAGTGGTCAAAGGATTAGACTCGCAAGTGTAAGTCAGACTGTTTTTCTATCTTTTTTCAGCGCAGCATGCATCGGCATTTTTCCTGGGACCTCTCGTGCGACGAAATACTTTTGCACGGCAACGCAGTGTGGAAAGCTTCTACAATGCTGGGAGTCACCACTGCATTGTTTTCCGCTTGAGAATCCCGGAAACAGTTGAAGTCCAGCCATATGTCCGTGAAGAACCTTTTAAAGGTCTGGTATGAAGATCACGGCATCAGAAACAGCAGTGCTGGTAGCAGGCGTTAAGGTAGCAAAGAGTACATACGCAAACTCCGTAGCCTTTTTGGCATGTCCATGGATGCGTGGTTTCAATGTTGGACGCGATCAGAGAAATCCCAGGAGGACTGGAAGGATCGGGTCAATGAGTAAGACCAACATATATATTCTGAATCAGTCTGTCTCAACCATTCTCACGTTTCCAGCAGTGTTCCGGCAGTAAAGGAATCCTAACACCTAGGAACGATGGCGTTTTAAACACGTTCTGGCGTGGAGCCACTTTCATGTCAAAGACACCAGTGCCGTACGGTGCCGTCCCATGAGTCAAGACATGGAGCAAAAAGTTTACAGTAAACATTTTGTCCCCCTTTTGCACGACGACTCCTCCTTGAGGAGAAAGCCGATGTATGGCTCACTGAGCAGCTGAAGTTCACGCGGGAGCAGCCGCTCGTCAAGTGAAATTTCTCAAACAATATTGGGTCTCGGGTGGTGAGGTTCTTTGCCAAGTTGTATTTTGCTCGTTAAGTCCTTACATAGGCTCCATGCCATCCCTATGCGGTGCTGGGAGATTGTTTTGAGTGGTTCTCTCTACCACTCTGACTGCCCCCACATCCATTGAGATCAGGAGATGTCGCCAAGGCTTTTTGCCATGCCAATCAACATGTTGAAACATTTTGCAACACATCTTCAATCAATCATGACATTGTGCTTGCATCCCAAACAGCTTAGTTTTGGATTGCCCATTGTACTGAGTTTTCTCGCTTATGTTTTGTCATTCTTGGCATACTTCCCCATGCTACTTGCCTGGGTGGGGCCCAGGCTCGACAAGAAATCACGTCAGTGCGAGCAGCTGGATGCCGAGAACAAGCGCTTACAGGCAGAGCACAGATGAGCACGGATTCAATCAAGCTTTGGCCCAAAGGGCCTCCAGGATTGCCTCCCTCGGAAGCTGATGCCTACAGTTTTGGCCAAGCCAGGTACGCAACAATCAAGTATGTAAGCCTAAGCCGACCTCCGCACTCTTGAAAGAGAATTGGATTCCCTGCCCCAGGCCGCACACTTTGGCTGATTCTTTTTTTTTGGGTGATTTTCATAGCTGTCACACATACTATCTACTATATAACGCTACGGAATGCCGCAGAGGGCGCACCTCGAGGTTTGCCCTGTGGCAAGACGCGAAGATGCGATTTGGCGCAGTGGAGTCACATGGAAGCGAACATGCGAAAAAGGTGAGCAGCGGCAGAGCAAAGGCTGAACACAGGTGAGCAACAGGACAGGTCCCGACCAAGACGCAAAGGTGTGGGCATCAGGTCGGCAACGGTGTGTAGCATAGCTTCCAAAGCGTTCCTTAAACCCAAGGAACTCGTAGTCCGGCAAGGTGGCAAGGCATGTCAAGACATGTCAAGGTATGGCAAAAGAGGACAGGGAACAAAACAAAATACAGTTCTAAAGCTTGACACAGAAAGAAAGAAGGACACAGAAAGCGGTTTTGTTCGTAGTAGTGAGGGGTACTGTATATAACTATAGTATATTATAGTGATGTCCAGACCAGCAGCGATGCCTATTCTGTTGTTCGCTGTCAGGGAGTGAGTAGAGCGGCAGTAGGAGTGTTTGGGTTTGTTGTGGGGTTGGCAGCGTCAGGTGCAGTACATCACAAGCACATGGGAAAAGATTTAATGCTTTTGTTAGAGTGTAAAGCGAGTCCAGCTCCGACATTTGTTTTTTAGCCCAATACCGCAATTGCTGTCAGGCACAAGTCTGTGATGAGGTGGGAACCAGCTTGTGCAGTTCTCCAAATGTTTTTTTGTCTACAAATTCCGAAGGGAAGAAGCAAAGAGGCAGTAAGTGCCAGCGTGGTACAATTGAGTGCTTGATACTCTTTGCAACCTCAATTGTGGTACTTGGTATTCAGGATGCTTGCTGTGCTCGTGAGGAGTTGTGCAGCTTGCGACAGCAGCTGGCCTCTCAGCACGAGGTCATGGCTCAACTGGGGTCTCAGACCGGTCGTCAGAGAAACATGAAGATGTTATTGTCCGATGATGGGCTTCTAACCTGTTGTTTTTGGCGCTCTTCGGTCTTGACATTGTGATATCAACTTATGCGGCAGCGCTAGAGGGGTCACATATGTCCAGCAAGATTCCGCGGGCGATGCTGATACATCTTGGCAGAGATTGGTCATCGAGCCACCGATCTGTCAAAGAAACGAAGAGCCCCCGAGTCTTTGGTTGGTGAGCAACCCCATTGTGCCAGGAACTTGACGCCTTGCAAGCAGCACATGGCCAGGAGCGGTGTCAGTACCGGCACATTTCCATGGATTGTGTGCCTTGCTGCAGTCAGATTTTTAGCAAGTAATGTCCATGGCGTCTCCAGCAATGCGCACCTTTGAGGAGCTTGAGCGCTTGCGCGAGGAATTGAGCCGGGAGCGAGAGCTCCATCAGGAGGCATCTGCGGGCGCAACAAATCCATGTGCCTGAGGGCTCGGGTTTCAGGTCAAAAATACAAGCCATCGAAGTTTCATACACTCGTGAAAGATGCGCTATTGATAGACTTCTGAGCTGGAACACTCAGATTTGTACTGTGAGCGATTTCAACCTCAGGCTTCGCGTTTGCTCCAAGTGCAGAGAGATGAGAAGGTCTTGGAGCCAAGGGTGCCGTGTCAGGTGGCTAGATGGGTGGAAGTGGGCCAGAGGGCCAGACCTGAAAAAGCCCTTGTTCGATATATATACATATAATCACGTGCACGTGATGAACATGGAGTCAGAGCCATGCCGATTAGGAATTAACAGGTACCGTATACCGGGATATGCTGAGGATGTCAAAGCTCCTCTGCTATCCTCAGTAAAAGAGCAGCTCTCACATAAGGAGTTCCGAGGGTTAGAACAGATACTGTACTTTTCCAGCCAGCAAATCGTGCGTCATGATCTGCCTGACCATGCCCAAAGCACCTCATGCTGCGGGCAACGGGTTTGCCTGCCAGCCTGCCAGTCAGTTTTCTTGTTCCTGAGGAAGAGAGAGGGAGAGTGTCAAATCCAAAGCATTTTCTCTATCACAATGAAGTGGGCAGTCCAAACTCCAGTCCATTGCCAATGTTCTAAGTGTTGATTTTGTGGATTCTCGTTGTTAGTGGAATCGTTGAACAGTGCTATTAAAGAGTTGACAGTTGGGACAGTTGGGCAGTCAGATTGGTAACTTTTTGACCCAATGACATAGATAAGGTCATCCCAGGAAAAGGGACATCGCTCTTAGGATGGAGGCCATCGCTTCTAGGTTGGAGGTCATTGCTATTACGGGGGAGGCCATCGCTAGTAGGATGGAGGCCATCGCTATTACCTAAACGGCCTTCATGGTCATCCTATCACACATCACATTTGCACCCATGAGGTCCGAGACCTTCAGGAAGAGCTGCGAAATCTGAGCGATGGGCTGGCTCAGAAGGCCGGTTTGGCGGGGAGAGTTTGTAGAAAGGTTACCTCAAATGGTAACTGACTGTGGAAGCAGTTGCTTTTTGTTTGCTTGGGCTTGGTCAATTCCAATCCGTTTGCGTGGGGCCATCCGCAACATGGGGAGAGAGAAACCAATGAGTAAGGGAAGAATATGCGACACATTCTTTTTCTCTTTCAGAGTCGCCATACGTGTCCACCCTTTGAGAGAATCGCTTGCTCTCTTGCTGCTTGGGAACGGGTGGCTTGTTGGGAGAATGAGCCGATCATAAAGGTCCTCACTAAGCCTTAGCCTTTCTTTTGAAGCTAAATACCAAGGCTGCTAGGGTGCCCTATTTGTATTTGTCCTTGGCTGTTTTTTGTGTTTGAAATCACATATATATATATATATTTATACATAATTGCATCCATTGACCCTGTCAGCGGTAGGAGGAGGACATGTTGAACATCCAGTTCAGCATGGCCGACTTGCAGAATCGCTGTGAGGACCAGGGAGTTCGGTATCTCAGCAACTTTTAGGACACGTTTGGACCAGACGTTCTTCCAATCGACATTATAGACGCTTTGATGATTCTGATGGTTTTGGGATCCTCCAACAACCATGCATTTCCACGGGTTCGGCAATTTTCCGGTTTTCTTGATGGTACACGGCCTGAAGGAGGCACTTCCTACTTGACTTTGAAAGTTCTTTCCTTTGGACGGAATCTGTCCAGCGCGACCCCTTTGCCCATTGAGATGATGACTTCACACTCAACGATGGAAGCATCTGAAGCCGTTTGGCCCTACACAATCCCAATCAATGGGCGTTTGCGAAGGCAAAGAACGAAAACTCATCCAAGAAAGTATCAATCAACCACGGTACCTTGCATAAGATGCCTATGCCTGCAAGATTAGGACAGCTTCAAAGTATGTATATGCGCAGCGTTGACTTGATTCAGAATGCTTCTTTCCCAGGTCATGAGTCAACATGAAGTGATCAAATGCAGCAATTCTATGCAATTCTTGGCCTGAGCCTCTCACATCTAAAATCGTTGTATGTATTTTAGTTGCCAGAATGAAGGTCCACCCTTGAAGCCATCGGCGCTCGATCTTTCTGTTGCTTCTCTTTGCGATGCTGACAGTCCACACTCTCGGTGGCTCAAGCTACATCCTGGAGCCTGAGGAGGGCATCGTGCGCTGCCTGGTGGCAGAAAAGCTGGGGCAGCCCATCATGAGGACGAGGCAGTGGGTGATGGGGATGACCGAGCAACAATTCGCGCCACACTCATGTGACAAGAGAGTTGCAAATTAGGAAAGACCTAAATAGGTTTATATATAGTTCTTTCAGAGGTTTGACTCGCTTGTTAAAAGGGTCTTCTAGGATTGTAGTCTGTGGAGGTCGAGGTTTACTAAAGGAAACCTTCATATGATGCCCTGGCCTTTGTGTACACCTATCCGGCCTTCACCTCTTCTCCGTTGTTTGCAAGACTTGACACCCGGCTTTTGTCCTCGCTTTCTTAAAGGTCTTCATTCTCGCTCTTCTCCGCTCTTGGTTCTTTTTCTCCTACTGGATGGACGTGCATATCTTTGAATTACTTTCTTGGTTCAGATTTGTGCTCTTCGAGTTGTTGTTTTTGACACATGTTATTGAAGGCCTTCTCTCGATTGATCTCCCATGAACCTTTGAGCTGCTGTCTTGGAAATCAGCAAAGGCTCACCAGAGGCTAGATCATTTGAAGTTGATGAAGTGTTGTAGATGTCACCCGGGACTGCTAGTATATATCTTCGTACCTTGTTTGGATGACTGGGGGCAACCCTGGCACTGCAGTGTGGTTTCAAGTTTGGATGATCCACATGCATGAACTTGATTTATTGGGAACGCGGTGATGTCAACTGACTATGCCTTTCTGGTCCTTGACTGTTGGGTTTACTTGGCTATAATCATTTTGTTAAAGAGAGATGAAGTATGGTGAAGATGGCAATTGCACTCCCAAGTTATGCTGGGAGTCCAGAAGCTTTTTCCCCGGCCAATCTCCTGTGGACTCGCGCCAGATTGGTTTCTGCGGGAGCCTTGCTTCCATGTGATGCAACATGGGAGGACCAGATGTGACACAAGGGGAAAGGTTTGCATGAACATCAATTCGATGCTGGTACACCACGAAACAGATCGAAACAGCGCAACCCGACCCCCCATTGACATTCGGATGGAACTGGATGCATAGCTAAGTTTCCCGAAAATCTAGGAACCAAATGAATAGTGCGAGCGTGAGCTATCCTGCGTCCAGTTACTACAAGCTTAAGTAGCTACCAGCTACCTCTCCGTTACTTAATTAAGTAGGCACCTACTTAATTAAGTAGGGAGGGGGGGAGCCGGCTACAAAGAAAAGATTAAATGATAGTCGCTTCACAGCTCGAGTTTGTCCGTGCCAGGATCTAGATGGGGTGCACGAAGTGGAGATGGTGTCACTTCCCGCGGTCATGGACTTCGCTGCGGATTTGTTCCAGGCAGTACAGAAGGGCACAGTGACTCGACGAAGAAGCAGAGGTCTTGCAGGAGAATGGAAGAGATTCTGAGAGAGGACGATTGACGGTTCAGACCGTTTAGTGCCGAAGTTGAGAAACTTGGGTGTTCATTGAGTGTCCTTTGTCATTGACGCGGCTCAGGCCCGTGAGGTGGAAGCAATCTTGCTGAAGTGCCAGGCTGCCCGAACCGATCTCGTGGCACGGAGGGGAAAGGATCATTTCACAGCATTTTCTAGAACACTCGTGGTCAGCGTTGGGACAAATAGATCTAAAACGGAATCTCTGAATCTCTAAAACACTCAGGGTCAGAGTTTCTGTTTACACCCAAAGGCTGGAATTTGATGGTACACAGAGGCATCACCAGAAGGTTCCTGTGAAGCAACTTGGATAAATTATTCTTCGAGTGGTGGGATTCTTTCGGCAGCCAGATTTCAGAACGGGATGTGAGTATGGTCAACACGTTTTTTGCGAAGCCCGGCGGCGCCGGTTCATTGCACCTTCGCTTTATTTTTTTGTACGTCCTCGACAGTACAGGTTTAACAGAAGGACCAGTCTCATCTCCTTATTTTTTGGTATTGTGTTTTCCGCTTGAAATCACAAGCCTCTGATTCTCAAGCAGTCCTTCAGATCGTTCGGCTTGCAGGATCCGAACTGTCGAGATGCCAGAGGCAATTGGGTCTTCTTGAAGGCGGGTCGAGAATGCGGCTTTGCTGGGTTTTGGCCGGAAGGCTTCAGATCTGTTTGAGTAAGAGAACCATCAGTAGAGCTATTCACAGCTACTGTCAGCCAAACTCTCTGGAGGTCACATGTCTCTGAGGCCAGTGGAAGTCGAAGCCCCCAAAAACTGGAGATCCTCCGCCTGCTCTTTGCTGCGGCGGCCGACATCTACGTTGCTGATCGTGGCGGGCGCCGGGCGTTGCACATAGCCGCCAGCCAGGAGGATGCTGAGGCACAGGGAGAGGATCGTTCTGGGAGCCCATGTGTGCTGTTGGCTGAGCCAAGAGCATGCCATTTTTGTGGTAGAGATGACCCAAACCTAATGCGATCGCAGACAGGAGTGGCCTCCTTTTGAGATCGACTTCTAATGTCTGAGAATTGATTCCTAGTGTCCTAGTGTCAGTGCAACATGTATATCATCGTGCTTGAAAAGCTCCCACTCCACAGGCACTGGGCTCTGAAAAAAACCAGCGTTTTAGGTGGTTTGCCAACCTTCTCATATTAACGTCAAGCTAAGAGTTGGGCGTTGTCCGAGACAACGAAGCCCGTGTGAGCGGATGTGTTTCACCTTCCCCCTTAAAGCAGGCCACAAGAGGAACGGAGGACGGTTTGTACCACTAGGCAATTTGGTGATGGTCGGGTGATGGTCTGTTGATTCCTTCTGGTCTGGTTTTGTGGTTGGGACAGAGTTGTTGAAGATGATCCGACAGATTGTGGCTTTAGAGGAATCGCTCCGAAGAAGTTGCTGAAGCCGCCTGCATGAATGAATATAAATGAAAGTGCAAGTAAGTGCGCCTATGTCAACAAAGTTTAGGCTAGGCTAAACACTCAGTGCAACTAGGGTGACCGAGAACAAGTGTGTCGAGAATGTCGAAGCCATTTTTGGACACTCCGGGTTTTGTGCACGCAGAGCACTGTGGCAAGTTGTCTTGCCAGCGCTTTCTGTCGTGAGTGTGGTTCACATTTAAGCTCGTTACTATGGTACTTGGACCTCTGAAGATGTGCCGGCTTTCGCTTCCCAACATTCTCAAGTTAGTTTCTCGGTGCGATTAGGACAAGTTGTATTGCATACTGTCCAAATGTGATCACCCTTTGCTCCAGAATAGCCTTGCAGAAGACGTTCCAAAAGCCTTCTCTCCTGCCCATCCATCTCCGAAGTATAGGGGTTGCAGGATGTTGAAGGATTGTCCGACGAATGAACAAAGCAATATACATACTCATTCCGAACCCCTCCCCCCAAAAGATCCTGTAACAAGACGCTAGTAGAAACAAGTGCATCGCTACTAGTAACAGGCGCCTTACTACTAGTAACAAGGACGCTACTAGTAACAAGTGCATCGTATCTAGTAACAAGTGTTCTTATTCTCACCGTGACTTCCAGGTACTTCGCTTCTTGCTGCAGGCTCGTGCGGAGACAGAAGCGGCAGACACCTTCGGCTGCACCGCGCTGCATTTGACGGCGCTTAGAGACTCCGGACAGGCGCTTTGAGTTCGAGCACGGTCGTGTTGTTCCAGCCAGTTGCCGGTAGACAGAGAACGGGACCTTTCGATCATTTTCGATCGTTTCCGCTTTCTTGAACGCCTCACTCACTCTGGATTCTATCGATTGGTTGGACAGATTGGACCATTCCAGTTTTGTCTCCCCTCTTTGAACCGACTTCCAGCTTCAGGCAGCCCAGATTCTGTTGGAGTTCAAGGCAAACAAGGATAAAGCTGATATCAGTGGAACAACTGCCTTGCATGCCGCCTCTGAGAAGGGTCATGTTGGAGTCTTGCGTGTATTGCTGAAAGCACGGGCAGATACAGAGAAACCCGACACCAATGGTCTGACTCCGTTGCGCGCTGCTGCTGGTGTGGGCCGCTTGTCAGCGGTTCAGGACTTGGTGGCCCATGCCGCAAACATCAACAAGGCTTGCAGCATCGGGATCACGCCAGTTCATGCGGCTGCAGACCGTGGACACCTCCAAGTTGTGGATGTTTTAATCTGCAGCCGTGCAAACTTGAACCAAGGAGACCTTCACGAGAGCAACCCGTTGCATGCCTCAGCTGCGGCTGGGCACCTAGAGGTGGCACGTTTGCTGGTTGAAGGTCGTGCAGATTTTCATCTGGGGAACGTGCATGATGTCAGCCCGCTGCACGTGGCGGCAGGGCAGGGACAGGCTGAGGTCGTACAACTTCTGGTGCAGGCTGGCGCGGAAAAGAACAAAGCAAATTCCTTGGGAGCGACTCCTTTGCGTTGTGCTGCTGAACACGGGCACAGGGATGTGGTGAGCTTCTTGCTTGACATGCATGCAGACATCATGATTGGGGACAACAGCCAGACCATTCCACTGCATGCAGCTGCTGCACAAGGTCACCTTCACATTGCTGAGCTTTTGGTGAGGTTCAAATCTGATGTGAACCACCGAAATCAGGATGGGATTACGCCTTTGCATGCTGCCATCAGTCGGGGTGACCCTGATTTGGTCCACTTCTTGATGGGTTGCAGGGCCCATCCTGAACAAGCAACCCTCAAGGGAGATAGGCCTCTACATGCTGCAGCAGAGCGAGGCCACGCAGGCTTGGTTGACATCCTTCTGCGAGCGCGGGCAGACGCGAACTGTGCCAACCACGGCGGTTCTTCTCCACTTCATGCAGCTGCAAGTCTAGGTCGTTTGGAGGTGTGGGTCCCAGATGGTCCCAGTGGGCCTCAATTTCAGGATTCATTCGTCGCCAATATTCACTAGGCCAAAAGACTGTGATGACACGAAGCTTTCCTCTGTTCCAAAGGAGTTTAATGAGACATTCGCTACTAGGTTGGAGGCCATCGCTACTAGGTTGGAGGCCACCGCTACTAGGGTGGAGGCATGTGGAGGCCATCGCTACTAGGTTGGAGGCCATCGCTACGGTGGAGCGCTACGCTACTAGCTTGAGGCCATCGCTACTAGGGTGGAGGCCATCGCTACAGGTTGGAGGCCATCGCTACTAGGTTGGAGGCCACCGCTACTAGGGTGGAGGCATGTGGAGGCCATCGCTACTAGGTTGGAGGCCATCGCTACTAGGTCGGAGGCCACCGCTACTAGGGTGGAGGCATGTGGAGGCCATCGCTACTAGGTTGGAGGCCATCGCTACTAGGGTGGAGCGCTACTAGCTTGAGGCCATCGCTACTAGGGTGGAGGCCATCGCTAGTAGGTTGGAGGCCATCGCTACTAGGTCGGAGGCCACCGCTACTAGGGTGGACCGCTACTAGGGTGGAGGCATGTGGAGGCCATCGCTACTAGGTTGGAGGCCATCGCTACTAGGGTGGAGCGCTACTAGCTTGAGGCCATCGCTACTAGGGTGGAGGCCATCGCTACTAGGTTGGAGGCCATCGCTATCGCTACTAGGTTGGAGGCCATCGCTATGAGGGTGGAGGCCATCGCTACTAGGTTGGAGGCCATCGCTACTAGGTTGGAGGCCATCGCTACTAGGTTGGAGGCCATCTCTACTAGGGTGGAGGCCACCGCCACTAGAGGCCATCGCTACTGGGGTGGAGGCCATCGCTACTAGGTCTGAGGCCATTGCTACTAGGGTGGAGGCCATCGCTACTAGTAGAGGCCATCGCTATTGGAGACCATCGCTACTAGGTTGGAGGCCATCGCTATATTAAGGTTGAGGCCATCGGTACTAGGTTGGAGGCCATCGGTACTAGGGTGGAGGCCATCGCTACTAGGTTGGAGGCTGTCGCTACTAGGGTGGAGGCCGTCGCTGCTAGGTCCATCGCTACTAGGTTGAAGGCCATCGCTACTAGGGTGGAGGGCATTGCTACTAGGTTGGAAGCCATCGCTGCTAGGTTGGAGGCCATTGCTACTAGATTGGAGGCCATCTAGAGCGGAGCCATCTATTATAGGTTAATATGAGCGTTCTAAATGAAACATCTTTGAAGCTGAGACATCTTCAGCGCTAAATTATTTTCGTGCAGCCGAGGCCGCACGGACCTTGGTCCAAGCTGGCGCTGACAAGGAGATGCCCAACGCCGTAGGGGTAACGCCGCTGCGTGCAGCAGCGCGGCAGGGAAGCTTTGAGATGATCTGCCTGTTGGTGGAGGCTGGCGCGAAGCAGGTCTTCTTAGAGGCTGGATGTGAGGTTGAGCAGGAATTGCTGGTGACAGTGATAAGCCTGAAAACATCTACCCAACCTAAAGAAATCAATTAGGGTCCCCCCTGAACGCGAATTAGTATTTCTGGATTCGTGCGACATCGCAGAGGTGTACCCCTCAAACGTTTGCAAAATTAATCCAGGCAACACACGCTCAAACTCAACAGGTTTTTGTCATTTTTTCCGGTCAAGACCAAAATGGTCATGTTGCAAGAGTTGCTCCCAGACCGGAAGATCTGGTGCAAAAATCCAATAATTTTCCTCCGGTGAGCTCTGAGCCACGTTTGGGATAAACAGGCAGGATTTTTAGTAAATACCAGTAAATTCTGGCATCCAACCTCTCTCAAGAGGTTTTGACCAAGAAACTCCAAGTTGGGTGAACATCTTCTATTTGAAATGCTCTCCGGGCACTCCCAAAAGCGCGTCTTCTATTGGAATTACTCCCTGAATATCTTCTATCTCTGCGGTGAAGAGTATAATTAGGCTATTTTGGAAGGATTGGAACTTGGGGGGCCTGATTAATCTCTTCTGGCAGCTGTGACAGAAGAGAGAGAAGGCGCGACGCCCAGCAGTTAATTTTTCTAAATTTATATTTTGCTTCTCCAACAATTTGTCAAAAATTCTGGCAAAAACCTAAGTCAGATAATGACGTTGGCATGCTCCCAATTATACCTTGGATCAAGCTAGGGTCATGTCTACTGAGTCTACTGTCTACTTGAGAAATAGTCGAGATTTTGTGGAGATGCTGCACACCCTCGATTAACGATCAATATTAGTTGGGCCATCAATTGTCTTCATTCCTATAAAGTGGTCCATGCCCTTTTTGTTACCTGAATCTCAAATGCATGTGTATGTGCGTATGCGCGTTTGGAGTGTAAATCTCAGTTCCTCCGCTAGCGATGCAATATATTCACCGCCGCTGAGCTGTTTCCAAGAAAGCGGCATTTGGCAACAAAGCCGGCGACAAAGCCGGAAGTAGCCACACTCAAAACCTAGCAACAAAATTTAATTCAGGGGGCTGGCCTTTGGAGAAGGGGTAGATTAATTAAATTTAGTTGGCAAGCATAGGCCTGGGAAAGTGCAGGGGGATTCATCACCAGCCCCACAAAAGTCAGGCAGGAAAGTAGCCACCGCACCAGGAAAGCAGCCACCGCACTAATAACTCTTGAACCGAAGTCCTTCTATATGATGACTTGTGGCAGAGTCTTTGAGCTTGGCCGCTTATGTAAGTAAAGAGGAGTTGCGAGATGTTTGGACTATACTGGATCGGGGTTTGCCGCCTGGGGAGTGGACATTAATTGAGGGGTTTGTGAGTAGTTGATGAGTTAGGGCCGCCCCCCAAGTTAAAGCTATAGAACATTAATTGAGGGGTAGAGGTACTCTCGATTAATTTCCACAAAGCCGGTTGTGTTTCTTTATTGATCGCCCCCCCACCAGGGCCCCATCTGACACGTTTTTGTTCTGGGGCGCCTTAAATGACTATTCCAATCGTTTAGGTTTTTTAGACATTTTCTGAATATTATTTAGGGAGTAGCCGAGAAAGACTTCAGTTGGTGATGGAATAACATCCTAAGGACGCAAAAAAAAACGAGAAACACATTACATAAAACATAACATAACAGAGAACAACCAATTAGATAGATCATGACAGATCAAGCAGAGTCAGGTTTCTTTCAGATTAGATTTCAGACCTGGGCAGAGGTGCTGAACAGTGCTCCAAGATGCGGGCAGCTGTACATATTAATCAATAGGTGGTTGAGTGGTTGACGTCTCATGTACTTTGGGTTTGAACGCTGCATAGGCTCAATTGTTTACCAAAAAGGGAGGTCAAGGTCCGGTCTCTTCGATTAGTACACTCGACCCTAAGCCGGTTCGCATGCGTTGTTTTGCTAAGGGGTATCCGCTCGCGCCTTCGCAGGGAAAACGGTCAACGAAAACATGTTTGTTTTTTATTTCTATTTTTACCGCGCATGTGGTAGAAACAAGGGCCGAACCCCTGAGGACATGTTGAAGAATCAATTTTTACCCTTTTTGGCCGCGCGTGTGGGCGACCCCCCGGGACACACGGTAAAAACATGTAAAAACCATAAAGGTGCTAAAAAGTCGGGAAAAAACGGAAAACGAACAAACATGTCTTGTTTTTTCAGTTTTACCGCGCGTGTGGTAAGGCAACCGACTTGGGAACAAAACGATAAACAAACAGACATCTTGGCTTTTTTTTACCATTTTTGCCACGCGTGTGGTAGAAATATTGGGGACCGACCCGGGAAGAACCGTCAAACAAAAATACCGTGCTAGCGCGTGGGCGCCGACGCTAGAGGAACTCTCTGTAAGCAAAAGGTCAGACTTAAAGCGAAAGGGTTATATACATTGAAACGCGAGCGGTACCGGGGTCTGGATCAAAAACAATTGTGAAGGATCAAAGGAAGAATAACAGAACCAAATCCACTCTTCGAGTCTAGTATTCCCCTAGACCTTGGTTTCCCGGTCCGCTCCCCTGATCCTTCGGTCTCCTGGTCCAGTGGCCCCTAGGCCTGAGGTCTCCCACTCCTTGTCCTTCGGTCGGCTGGCCGTTGTGGACTTGGCCTACTAGTCCACTGCTCCTTTGATCCGCTGGTCTCTTGGTCTCCTAATCCGCTGGTCTCCTGGTCCTTCGATCTCCCTGGACTGGTTCTTCAACTCAAATCGAAGGTTCCGTGGTCTTTGGTCTTCTGGTTCTTTGGTCCTGCGGTCCTTTCATCCCCCGTCCTTTGTTTTTTGGTCCTTTGGGTGCCCTAGTCCTTTGGTCCCCTGGTCCCTTTCCTGGTCCGCTGGCCTCGTGGTTCATTGGTCAATGTTGGTCAAAAGCACGAGGTTTGCAAAAGCAAAGCGCTACCCGGTTGCCTTGATCCTTGCGTCACTTTTGAGTGCCCTTGATTGACGAGGCAATGGAGTGTATGATCTATTTGTGGTGCCTTTAGAGTCTGATGGCTTTTGATGTTTGGTTCGCTCTGAGGGGGGAGGCGCTGCCCTCCCCCCAAGCCCCCTCCAGCGCCACGAAATCTGCACTACTTTTACCAATGAGCTGGGCCTACCGCGACAGATGTTCTAAAGGTCACCCACGCACCCATCGCTCTCACAAAATATTGTACGCGCCCGCCTAAGTCTTTTTGTTTTTGTGTTGCACGCGGTTGCTAGCATCCTTCCTTTGTCCTGTGGTGGATGGGCCCCTCATTGATTGGGCAATGTGTCGTGTAGTTTTTGATGATGATGTATTTTGTGGTGCCTTCGGCGTTTGGTGGCTCTTCAGTGTGCAACCCCGCTTCGGCGCCACGAAATCTGCACTACTTTGGCCAATGCGCTGCCACGACCGACATTTTGAAGGTCACCCCATCGCATATCCACACAGCAAGTATTGCACACCCTTGCCTAAATTTTGATTATTTGTTGCAATCATCCTTTCATGGTCCTCTTGTCGCCCGCCCTGCTGCTGTTGTCCTTTCCCTAGTCTCCTTTTCCTTTCATTGCTCACCCGGATTTTTTCATTTTTTCTTTTTGACGCCCGTCGAATATTTTTTTATTGATGCTGTGTTTTTTGACCCCTCACCCAGCGGTACCCCTTAGTGTAACAACACACGCGAGCCGATTCAGGTTCACCGAAGGACTTCAAACGATCGGAGTGTAGGGCAACGAAAATGAAGCGATCCTTCGTCCACTCATGTGTTTCCTTTGTCTTCAAGAGAGAAACATGTACAAAAAACTAGACGACGAGTGGCCCGAAAGCATTTTTCATCACGTAGGAAATCAGAGTGCGAGTTATCCGGTAAGTGTGTAGTGAGAAGTGTTAAGTCGAGTGAGTTGAGGTAGTGTGTGGGTTTCTGTGCGTGTGTCTATGTCCGTGTGGAAACGAGTCTGCGTATGTGTGTGTTCGTGGAAGTTGAGGGAGTGTGTGGGTGTTTGTGTGCGATGCGGCCTCCCAAACCCCCCACCGGCGGCCAAGCGGTGACAGCCCAGCTCATCGTCGTGAGCATTTGGGCTGCTGGTAAGGGGACAATGGCAGCCAGCGTGCTGGCTTACCCACTTCAACTATGATGG